ATCATTGCAAAAGCGTATAGATCTGGAAACAAGGGTATTATTGACTAAATTAATTTGTGAAGGTGGATGATGAGAGTTGGCATTCAAGTAACGATTGGTATGGGTAGGTCTTCCATTAACAGCGTGATGATAACCTTGGGATTGGTTTTTCTTTATGATCACTTCGAGAAACGGTAGGGATAAATAAGTTTCCATCTTCATCGTAAACTGGATACTAAGATATATACCATTCAGATGGGTCTGAAAATAGACCAAAGCATCTCTGACGTGGGGCTAAATGACGACTGTATTGTCAACATGTCGTAGCCAATTTGTGGGCTTGAGCAATGATGTAGATAGTGTTCGGCTCTTGAAGTTTTCAGAATGTTTAGTGTTTCATCTATAGGAATGTTTGTAAATAGTGAAACGATATCGAAACTTACTAAAATGTCTGATTGTGAGATAGTGTATTGTTTAAGAAGTTCGATAAAGTGAAAAGAATTTTTGACGAAGGATGAAGCATTTTCGGCGAGAGGTTGTAGAGTTTTGACCAAGCACTTGACCAACGGTTATGTAGGGCAGTTATATGGACTGACAATGAAACGTAGAGGACTATCGGGATTTTGAATTTTGGGTAAGCCATATATTCGAGATGTTCTGGAAGATTTTTCACGAGGAATTAGACACGAGTAATGTGGCGTTTTCTCTAGGCAGGTTATGGGTTATTAGCAGATATGAGAGTTTATTAATGCAAGAAGAAGTGTTTAGCATGACGGTGGCATTTCATTTATCGACGGGAAGAATGACTAGACTATAATTTGACTGAAGTTACCTCAGGGCTTTTATTTTCAGGTGTTATTACAAACAACGTCATTTAATAAATCCAAACCTCCACAGCGTGTAAGATAATGACAAAGACATTATATATTATCATTAAAGTAAGCCCATACACAGGGATATTTTCACATCCAGTCTTGTTAAAATTCCCTTCAATATAACAAGTTAAACTTTCTCACTTGCTGAATTGTGTATTTGTGTATTTTATATTTTTAATGTTGGACTAGTGTTCATTTAAATAGCTATCAGACAGAGTTAAATAGCTATAAGACAAAGATAAATTATGTATTAGTATTATGTATATCATTTAACGAGAATAAGTTTAAAATAATAAATTTAACGTTGGCGATGGCGAAAAAGTGTCGTTCGCATCTCTTCAGTTGTTTTTTGCAACTCCGTTAAAGGTCGATTCAGACACATCAGTCACGTCTCGTCACAGTCCTGGCGCCGAATCGAACAATCCGTCATACAAAATATTCTTTAATAGAAATATGGCGCCGGCATTCACATTCATCAGTTGACGAACAGTTTGCCAGCTGTCAGATAGTTGATAGTTCTGTGACCAAACAGGACCGGTTCGGCGCCGAGACTGTGACGGGACTGATGTGTCTGAATCGACCTTAAGACTCCTATGTCTAAGCCATCGATGATTTCGCTACAAACAAATTAGGAGGGTACATTGAACAGCAACGGCGAAACAACTACACAACCCCTCTTTTTAAAATACTTTATATCTTCTCATATTTTTCTATCAATTTTAACGGAAGAAAATTGAATTCGATACTGGTAAGCAATGATTCGAATAGATATTCTGTACAGTGCCATATTGAGAATTTCCATTAGCTTATCCATGTTATACCATGTCAAAAGTTTTTCGATAATCGATTAAACAGGAACCAACATCAAAAAAATATAAATCGACGATGCTGAACTAAGGATCACTCTGTAAAATTTATTTCTTGGCTGAGTAGACACTCTCGGCTTCACAGGCGTTATTTTTACTCATCTGAAAATACGATAAACATGCATGGGTTTCATAAAACTCAGAGAAAAAGAGCTCTCTCTCCTCGCTCGTGATGAGCGTATGCAGGTTAAATTTTGACGTAAACTGCACTGGCCTAAATATTTGTTGTGATAATATACCGAGACGCAGGAATTTTTCGGATTCTACGACGATGTTGACAACAGAATTTAAACGTAAACCGAACCCGTTTTGAAAACCCAATTATTAAATGGTATATGGTATTGTTGGAAAATTTTTATACAAGCATTTACAATGGCCTACATGTCTATTTATAAAAGATCTTGAATATTTTATAAAATTTAAAAATTAACCAAAATTGTAAAATGGTAAATAATATACTTTTTCTACTCTCTTACTAGTAAATTGTATATTACCTACTATTTGGATGCTAAGTAAATGCATCGTAACAGATACTGACACGTAATGACTAGCACGTAATAAAAAAAATTACGCTTCAGTTTTATAAAAATGTTTAATATCACATAAGCCTCGTAAGTCAGTTGGTCGAGTTACCATGGAAACGAATTAACAGACGTTATTTTGACAGATTAAAAATTATTAATCTGTCAGTGTAAATATAGTGGTAATTTAATTTTTATTTTTATAAACGAAAATAATCGTAGAAACAGTATAGTACACAACTTGAGTTGTAAGCTTATTACATGCTTGTAAAATTACTGCGCTCGCCGCTACGCGGCTCGCGCGCAACTTTTTTACTCGCATGTAATAAGCTTCTTACAACTCTCGTTATGTAATATACTATTTTCTACTCTCTTACTAGTAAATTGTATATTACCTACTATTTGGATGCTAAGTAAATACATCAAAACAGATACTGACACGTAATGACTAGCACGTAATAAAAAAATTACGCTTCAGTTCTATAAAAATGTGTAATATCACATAAGCCTTTTAAGTCAGTTGGTCGAGTTACGATGGAAACGAATTAATAGACGTTGTTTTGACAGATTAAAAATTATTAATCTATCAGTGTAAATATAGTGGTAATTTAAATACAGATAAGTAAAATGAGTTTCATTGAATAGTGAACATGAATTTAGTAGCACCCAATATTATGCAGTTAGGTTATGCAGTTACTCTTGGCTTATTTTGTAGAAATCGCTAAGAAATTTAAACCATCCTCATTATGGGCAATATATTCTATGTTAAGAAGTGTTTGAATGTATAACTTTGAAAAATAATGTTAATATTGAAAATTACCCGAAATTGCGAGCTTATTTAAAAAGGCAATCAGAAAGTTTTAAAACCAAAAAATTTAAAATTTTACATCCTGATGAAATAAATTTTTTTTAATGGAGCTCCTGATGTGTATTATTTAAAAGTATAACATAAATGTGCTTACTTATAATACTTTTATTTTAAGGTTATTGTAAATTGGATGGAATATGTGGAGCTTGTAGGAAACAAGAGTTAAAAAATCTTAAAATTTGTGACACGGATGATTTAAGTACCGTATTATTGATTAAAATTCCTGATACGAAAACCAAAATATGTAGATCTTTCGTTATTTCCGAAAATTTCTATAAAATCTGCAATCAATATATAGAAATTCGACTACAGATTAGCGATCTGCAAATAAATTAATTTTTTCTTAATTATGAAAGAGGTAAATGTACGAAACAGATGGTAGGATTAAACAAAATATTTGGCGTTCCTAAACAAATAGGCGAATATTTAAAGTTACCAGATCCCAAAATGTACAAAGGTCACTGTTTAAGACGAACTTCTGCCACTATTTTGGTAGATGCCGTGATTTAGTGATTTAGTGGCTCTTAAACGACATGGCAAATGGAAATATTCAACAACGACCGAAGGATATGTCGATGAGTCAATAAATAATAAGACGTCAACAGAAAATAGAATTATAAATTCAATTGAAAGTAATTTACAGACCTTTACATACACTGAAAACACCAATGTTCAAGAAGAACACACCGTACAGTTTACGTCATCTCACCATTCACCACGTATTATTGAACAACCAATTGCCAACTAGAGGAAGACCATGCGTTTGGTTTGTGTTTAAGAACAATGTGTAGTTCCACATCTAGAATATTATATAATAAGAAATAGTGTCAACGTTAAGGTAATATTAAAAATAACATCTTTAATTATGATGATTGTAAAGAATGTTTTTCCATTACAGCAAGTTCTGATGAAGCCCAAAATTATGTGGCGAAAGCTTGACTTTTAATAAAAGCTGCTCACTTTGAAGCAGCTGTTTTTTATTGCTTCCTTAGTATTGGGTCGTTGCCGATTACCTTCAACTGTCTGTTGTTTACGAGTAGCCCGTTACTGTCCTCGACTTTTATATATATATATATATATATATATATATATATATATATATATATATATATATATATATACTATATATATACTATATATATATATACACTATGTATATACTATATATATATATATATATATATATATATATATATATATATATACTTAAACCTACAGCCAATTCCTAATAATCCAACAACCTATCTGGAGAACAACAAAAGCCATTATCAATAAAACCTCTCTTCCTGTTGACATAAAACAATCTCTAATTCCTCGTGAATGTCTTCCAGAACACCTCGAATATATGGCCTACCCAAAATTCACAAACCCGATATTTCTCTACGCCCTATCGTCAGTGCATACAACTGCCCTACACAACGATTGGCTAAGTGCTGTACTCTACTACCTTTTCATTGAACTTCTTAAACAATACTCTATCTCATCGTCAGATATTCTAGTAAGTTTCGATATCGTTTCAATATCAAAAGTTAGCAATAATAATCTTGATTAAGTAATTAATAATACATTAAGCAGAAAGTACTAGAAATTTGAACATATAGATTAATGATAAAATATTGAAAGACAACAATTCTTATTACCCGCTATCTGACATATTCTGCCCCAAATCTATACACGAAAAATTAAAAATTAAAATCTATAAAACAATTATAAGACTATGAATGGATGCAATATATAAGTAGTGACTGAAAATATCAAAACAAAATTAGAAGTGTTTGTGAGAAAAATTGTAATAAAGATCTTTGGACCTATCAACCGAAAACTCCCAAAACACCTATAAACACGATTCAAAAATGAGAAAATGGTATATAAATCAATCAAAACTACTTACAATTCTAGAATTACTGTCATGATCTTTCCATTTTCAAAAGCATCGTATATCTGAATTAACCTTGGATGTTGAAGAGATCGCATTATATCTATTTCTCTCTCCACATTTCGTCTATCTTCTTTTTTAGGACAACCGATGAATTTTGCTGCTAGACACAATCCAGTCGATTTTTCTTTGCATCTGTATACTGTGCCAAATTTTCCTCTAGAACAATAAAACAAAAACAATTAGTATACCTATAATGAAATTCACATGACTTGACAATTTCACAGGTGAGTCAAAATGTACATTGTTAATTAATTGCGTATAATATAATTTGGGAAAAATTTCTTACAACTAACACACCCAATATGTATTGATATCTAGTTAGACTAGACCAGTTCGATAGAACTGATAGAAGAGAATCCACGTCATAACAATTCATCTTTTAGGCAGAAATTTCTTCGTGAAATCAATTTTTTAATATTCCATATTCGAGCAAAATGTACAATAAAAACGACCAAGACTGCAGAGGACGCCAAGAGGCAGAAATATGCATATCAGTGAAGGGTGGTGCGCTGTATCGAAATCAAACCTTAACTGTATATTTTATATTTTTATTTTACATTTTACTCTAGTATGAAAAAATGCCTTACACAGGCATTTGACCGAGTCAAATTAAAAGACATTATCCACTTATTGTATGCAAGAGAGATACCTCTAGGAATAATCAAAACGATCGAAAATATCTACCAAAACAATACAATAAAAGTAAAAGTAGAAGAAATAAGAAATAAAATAATAAGAAATAACTATTGAAGTGGCAATGGGATAAGATAGAGAGATTCTCCGAGTCCTCTATCTTTCAAGTTGATTATAGATGAAGTAATAAAAAAAGTAAAAACTAAAAAATTATACCAAATAGGAGAAAAACAACTTAAAATAATCTACTATGCAGACGACGCAATACTACTCTCTCAAAGTGAAGATGATTATAACGTATGCTGCACCAATTTAATATAACCGCCAGAAAAATTAACATGTTAATTTCCCCAACAAAGACAAAATGCATGGTTACAACAGCAAATTTACTAAGATGTAAATTGGAGCTGGAAGGTCAGATAATACAAGTGATGGAGTTCAAATATCTAGGCATCACATTATCTAGTTACGGAAAGCTCGAAACCGAAGTGAAAGATCAAGTGAATAGAGCAAATAGAGCCGCAGGCTACCTAAATGAAACAATATAGAGAAACAAAAATATTGGGAAAGAAACGATAGGCAGATTTTATAAAACAGTCATCAGACCAATAATGACATACGCAGCAGAAACAAGATCTGACACAGAGAAGACAACAAGGATGTTAGAAACAGCAGAGATGAAAACACTTGGAAAAATTGATGGTAAGATACTATGGACAGAGCTAGAAGTACAGATATACGACATATATGCAAAATGGAGAACATCAAAAACTGGGTAAGAAATAGAAGAGAAGAATGGAACGATCATATAAGCCGGATGCCAACAAATAGAGTAGTAAAAACGGCAAGAGATAGTTCCCTAATAGGAAGACGATCAGTAGGAAGACCACGAAAACGATGGAATGACCACTTACTCGAGGAACATTGAAAAACAGTCATGTCTATATAAAAAGAAGAAGGAGAAGACTCTAGCATGGTGTATTAGGTTAAGTAATCGTTTTCACGAAGGGATGTCTGCCTAGACGAATTTGTAAGATGTGGATACAAATTATAAATTATAAATCCCCATGCCAGTGCATTTCGGTATTCGTCGTCTGCTTGTATTGCAATGTTTACAAAACACAGATTTGGGCCGAATCCCGAATTCGATTTCCGAATTCAGGTTTCGGAATAGTAGATGTCGCACTAGAATGTGTTGGTAAATATTTTAAATATTTACTTTTATGGATGAAAAAGGTTTTACTCCTACAGACTCAGAGTTCACTCTGAGGACGCTAAGAGGCAAACATATGAATATCAACGAATGGTGGTACGCTGTGACAAAATCATACCTACATTAACCACAGAATTAATAGCCACACAGAAGTAAAACAGAGTCAGTTCCTTTGATGTTGTAGGACCAATATATTTGACCTCGTGCACAATTTACAGCATTATGCACTGGAAACAAGTATTTTACTTACACAGAGAACGTATAAGTGTTATTAAAAATATTTGTTTCTCAATGTATAATTCTGTAAGTGGTGCACAATGTCTACTTTATTTTTATTTTATATTTTACTTTATTAATTAGTACAAGGAAATCGTTTTCACGAAGGGATTTTTACCTAGACGTATTAATATGATGTGAATATAAATTATAAATCCCCATGATAATGCATTTCGGTGTATTCGTGGTCTATTTGTTTTGCAACGTTTAAAAAACACAAATTTGGACCGAATACTGAATTCGATTTTAGATTTATATTTTTGTTAGTAAATGTCGCTCTAGCGTCTGTCGGTAAATATTTTAAATATATATATATATATATATATATATATATATATATATATATATATATATATATATATATATATATATATAATATATATATATATATATATATATATATATATATATTATATATATATATATACATATATATATATATATATATATATATATATATATATATATATATATATATATATATATATATATATATATTTATATACCGGGTGGTGAATCGTCAAACGGACCATAGGAAACCCAATGGGAAATTTTAAATTGTTGAATTGCTGCTTCCCTAATTATTTTAGATCAAAAGCCAAAAAAACTATTTGTAGAGGACTAAATTCTAAATTAAAAACAAATGGTAAAACCGTTCTACGAATCAAATGTACTTCAAAATTTTGCAAAAATATAATAGATTTTTCAGACCACCCCTAAAAGTTAGGCCACACGTAATACAACAATGTCAGATGTTTGACAATTTGAATTGTCAATTTTTTTTATTTTATGATTAAATTATAAACAATGAATTTTACTAAATACTACTACTACTGAACAATATTACTTTGTGAACAATAAATTATATTGTTTACAAATCGATCAATATAATGAATCGTACTCAGTTGACGAAAAATCGCATAATGTTGTATTCAGGCAATAGCGCGAACCTTTTCCTGTCATTACCGGATCTTTATTTAACGTAAGATATTCTAATACAATAAAATTTAATTCCATGTTAAGTTAAGATATACAACAATTCAATGAATTCCAATATACTGTTCCTGTGATCTTTATTCCTAATAATAATATACGATAATTTCTAAACATAAAACTATAACAAATGTTATAATAAAACATAAATAAAACATTTTTATTACTGCTCTTTTCTCCTTAACTGAGTACATTTTTTAATCAACTTAATTTTTCTTTTAAATAATAAATCACAAAATTTTGGCCATTTAAATCATAGATAAGTATAATATAGTTGATTTTTTTTATTGGATTAATGCCTCGACAACTATGATCATTGGCATAAAATATTGTCAAAATATTAGAAACGTCAATATGACAAAAAGCAACACGTAATACACAGTCTTTTCACGGCGTCTGGTCTGACTTTTAGGGGTGTCCTGAAAAATGTATTATATTTTAGCAAAATTTTGGAATACGTTTAAGTCGTAGAACAATTTTAACAATTGTTTTCGATACATATTTAAGTCCTCTACAAATAGTTTCCCATGACTGTTGGTGTAAAATAATTAGAGAAGCAGGAATTCAACAATTTAGAATTTCTCATTGAGTTTCCTATGGCCCGTTTGACGATTCACCACCCTGTATATATTCAGGGTTCTACAGTATTCACTGCCTTCTCTCTCTCAACCGTTTTCATCTCTCTCTGTTGTCCCATTCTCCATCGTTTTGGCCTCTCTTACTCATGGCGTCGTCTACTTCATTCCTCCAGGATCTTCGTGGTCGTCCTCTTTTCCCCCTTTCTATGGGGCTTCATTCGGTTATTCTGTTTATTCATCTGCTGTCGCTAGTTTTTCTTACATGTTTATACCACTTTAGTCTTTTTTGTTCTATATATGTTAGTATGTCTGTTTCTATTCACGTTCTTTGCTTTATTTCGTCATTACTTCTCCTATCCATTCTTGTTACTCTGCAGCATCTTCGCAGGTATTCCATCTCTGTTGCTACTATCTTACTGCTGTCTTTCTTGTTTATTATCCAATTTTCAGCCCGATATGTTATAATACTTCGCACTAATGTTTTATAAATCTGTGTTTTTGTCGTTATATTTAGGTGTCTATCCCACCATACTGAGTAAGGTTGTAGGATTGCTGTTCTTATTTGTCCTAATCTTTGTATAATTTCTTCCTCTGTTGTTGCTTTATTCGTGATTATAAACCCCAAGTATTTGAATTTGCCCTTTCCTTTGATTGTTACGTTGTCATCAATCTGTAGATCTTCTTTGTCTTCTTTACTTGTAGATAGGTACTCTGTTTTCGCGAGGTTAATATCTAGGCTTAAAATTACCATATATAAAACACTAATAAGGCCAGTGTTAATATACGGGTCAGAAACATGGTCACTTACACAGAACGACCAAGAATTACTTAAACGTTTCGAGAGAAAAATTCTGAGAGGATATTTTCGAGAGGAAAATATATGGAGGTGTCCAAGAACAGGGTTTGTGGCGTAGGCGCTACAACTTTGAGTTATACAGAAGTTTTGGGGAACCTGACGTTGTAAAATGCCTTCGATGGATAGGACATGTAATTAGGCGAGATGAAGATGCAACGACCAGAAAAAGTTTCAACCAAAGAGGACCAGTGGGAAGACGATCCAGAGAAAGACCAAAACTTAGGTACCAAGATAACATAGAGGATGATTTAAAATCCATCGGAGTTAAAGCATGGAGAAGAGTTGCCAGAGACAGGCGCAAATGGAAGATTGTTCTGAAGAAGGCTTTGGCTCATGACGAGCTGTAATGCCACTGATAACGATGAATATCTAGGCTAGCCTTGGTATGTTCTTCTTGTAATTTTTTCATCATGTGGCTGCGGTCATCTTGGTATTCTGCAATCACTACTTGATCGTCTGCAAAGCTTAACATATATAGGTATTCGTTCCGTACCGGTACTTCCATGCCTTCGCATTTTCTTCTCCATGTAGTCAAGGCTTTCTCTAAGTATATTTTGAATATGGTTGGAGATGTGGAGCCTTGCAAGACCTTGCAGGAGCCGTCTTGTT